TATATGCCAGCAGAGCCCTGCAGCTTCACCCTTGTTTTCCATGCCTTCTTTGCAAAGTTGCTTGGTTGTGCCCTATGAAAGAAAGGGGTGAGACACTGGTCCTAAGGTACTGCCACCTGTGTGCCTCGACAAAGTAGTGTGTAAGTGGTAGTTTCTCTCTCCTTTGTGTTTTGTAGAATGCAGATCCTGGGAAGCTCATAGTGGAGCCGCTAACGTTTGGCACCAGCATGCTGTGCCAGGCAGCAGCGGCATAGTGCAAGCCCAGATCATTGGCTCCCGAGGGGCCACTTACGCTCACCCAAACCACAGACTTCCCTGTCCTCATCTGTGAAAGTCCCCAGTAATTCTTATCGATTCTGCCATATCAGTCGAACATACTAGTCTAGAAATTCAGATGAGATATGCATTTTACCCTCTGTTGCCTTACTTGTTCCAAACCAATACCATCACCTTAGTGGCAGTCGCTGCTGCAGGATCATGAGGAGCAGCAATAGGATGCTTTCCAGCAGGTCAGGCATTTCTGGACAGCCCCCTTTCCCCTTTCTTCTCTTCGGTGCTTCCCAGTGTGGACCTGCACATAGGCCTTGGCTCTGAAACGGGACAGGTACTATATTTGTTTACATGTGGCAGATACTGTTGGTGGGGAGGTCTGCTCTCTGAGATCAAGTGGTGTAGGCATGCAGAGAACAGCTTTGAACACTCTAAGTTTTACAAGATATAGAATGTTTATGAAATACAATTTGGATTCTATATGTTTCATATTTGTTTCTTTTAATGTGTTGAAATGCACTAGCTATTGTATAAAATTCCTGGTCCTTAGATTCATTTAGTTCTCTACCCATCCTTACATATACATGTATATATATATTTTTTTCATTTTAAACACTTACAGTGTACTGGATTCTGAGAGGTCTAAGAGAGGGAAATACATTTCTTACCTTCCAAAGCTGACTTTGTAGTTGGAAATCACACACTAAGCGACAGCTGATAATTCTGGAAAGCTGTGAACAAAGGCCCATAACAGTGAGAAGGAAATAAATGCTCTTGAAAGGAAAAAGCCCCGGCTACCAGAGAACACTCTGCACGGACCTTGTATGCTCCACGTTCCAGTAGAATGCCAGGAGGGGGTTAGTAAAATAGTTCTAGGACTTTATTTCAGATTTGTTGAAGCAATAACCCCTACCATTTAAAAGGCCCCAATGAAGCTTTGAAGTTAACACCTCATTGCTGAGAAGTATGATGGCTTTTTCTTTCTGTAAGATGATGCTATCACATTTAAAAAAATGTGGAACAGAGGGCTCGGAATATGCCGATATTCAAAACTGGATTTAAGGCCTGATTGCTTCTTTCTGCCTTGGTCTGCCTCCTCACTGGGCTTAGAAGGGAAGATAACATGAGTGTGATGTTTCCTGCTGACAGCCTGAATGGCAAAATTCTAGTCTGTTATTCTTACCCTGTCCTTTCATTTCATTTCAGGGGTCTCTCGTTTAGGAGAAAGTACATGTTAAAAACTTTGGTAAAGGCCTAGGGGTATCAAGTATTGTTGCTAATTAACTTCTAAGAGAGAGACCAAGTATTATCAGCTCTGTGCTTTCAACAGCTTGCGTTTTCACCAAGAGTCAACCATGACTCAGGCAGCCTTAGAAGGTAACATGTTAAAAACATCACTTGGCGAACTGCAGGCCATGAATAAAAGAGAATGGGGGTTCTCTTTCATTCCTCCCTCTTGGTTTCACAGACTTCTTACTTGCTCTGAACCTCAAGAAACCTGGTGAAGAGAGGCTATTTCACTTCCCCTCATAGACCTTGTGGTTTGGGGCAAGATGCTTTAATTTTCACGGTTTTATTTTTATTTAAGCTTCGTGGGCACTTTATTAATACATTCTTCCCTATGTATATTAAGTTATGAGAAACTGCTGTTACTGCTGCTGCTGTTTTAATGAGCAAGATTCTTGCAGCGCTCTCTGTGACAGTTCCATTTGTTTGCAAGCTGCCTAGCTGTGACTGGGGCTGTAGACAGAAACTCTGGAATGAAGTGCATGTGTAGGAAGCCAGCAGGTCCTAGAGGGATCAACCCTCTGACCTCACTCTTACCCACATTGTGCCCTGAGCAAGAGGACTGACTGTATACTATTTAGAAGATTAGACCAACAACAAGGCTGAAAAGGGTTGTTAATAGTATTCCAAAGTTAGTAATACTCACTGAAGCACCAACAAGATCTTCAGTATTTTTCTTTTGGGCAGAATGATAAATAGATAGGGAGAGAGAGAGAGAGAGAGAGAGAGAAATCTGTGATCATGTCATCTTAATTCCTGAAGGAAAATTCAGATTACATAATTTTTAAGTCAAAGAAATCTCTCTAGTGTCTGTGCCTGGCCCAAATTGTGCTTCCAGAATGCTAAGTATATAGTGTCCCTTCTTTGGTCTTGAGCTTATCTGTTTGTCAAATGGGGATTAGGTTAGAATTATCTTTTTTTTTTTAAGATTTATTTATTTATTGGAAAATCAGATATACAGAGAGGAAGAGAGACAGAGAGGAAGATCTTCCGTCCAATGATTCACTCTCCAAGTGAGCGCAACGGACGATGCTATGCCGATCCGAAGCCAGGACCCAGGAACCTCTTCCGGGTCTCCCACGCGGTGCAGGGTCCCAAAGCTTTGGGCCATCCTTGACTGCTTTCCCAGGCCACAAGCAGGGAGTTGGAAGGGAAGCCGAGCTGCCAGGATTAGAACCGGTGCCCATATGGGATCCCGGGATGTTCAAGGCGAGGACTTTAGCTGCTAGGCCACGGTTCCGGGCCCCAAAGAATTATCTAAGCATAGTTCGAAGTTTTCCGTGAGGGTGTTCCAACCAACAGAGGAGAGACATGGGCACCTTAGAAATCTGGGGGTGTAGCTGAGAGCTTAATGAGGGCTAGATGTAGTTGAAACTGTTTATTTGTCCAAACATTCTCTTCTGTATCATATTCCGATTTACTTTACCTAGTAGCGTACCTTTTCCCTAAGGTAACTAAAACCATCCCATTAGGAACATGCACCTTATTTATCTTTGGGTTCCAGAAACTCCTGGCACACGCCATCATTTTGGAACTCCTAGGACAAGCTTGTGTAGTCCTGGTTGGAGCACCCTTCATTTATGAGCAGCTTTGCTTAGGGACATGGAAGATACATATGGATAACAGTAAAGTGCATGATGGTTTTGAAAGTTGTTTCTTATTTTAGAAAGGTTCCAAACCACCTGTGGGTTTATTTGCTAAGTAGATTTTAGTCAGGAGTTTAAACTGGCTCTTGAAGGTTGTCAGGCAGACAGCACTGGGGCCTTCGCTGAACTCTGGGTGTATGTTTATAAAATTCGATGTGAGAAATAGTACTTTTAGAACGTGGTTAGTTTTAATCTTGTAGACTTTTTTAGTAAGTTAAGTTTACTTTTTTTTTTTTTTGGCTTTAGCTGATGTAATATCTAGTCCTTGTTTTTTTTTTTTTGTTTTTTGTTTTGTTTTGTTTTTTAGTTTGTAGCTGTAATATGGTCCAATGATACAAGGTCTGAATAGTTTAGGACATAATGTGAAAATTTCCAAGAAGGGATAATGGAAAACTTGACTTCACGTATAAAACAAAGATTAGAAGTACAGATATCGCCTTATTCTGTGAAAGAATCTTGAATTATATTATTTTCTTGTGCATTGAAGATTTAAGTTGAAAATTAGGTAGGATCCCTCCTACCTCCCCTCACAGATTGTTATATAAGGGACGTGATTTTATACTGCAGCAAATTACTAAAACTTCTTCATACAGAATTATTACAGTATGTTTCAGAAGCATTTCTTAGTAACATATAAAGGACTAAGTAAATTCCAGAAAATTCTATTGTCAGTGAGTTATAAAAATTATTCTGTAATCCACTTACAGTCCATATTAACTCTTTTTCAATGAAGAGCTCACCCTTAAGATACTATAATTTCAAACGACAAGTGAATTGTCAAAATGTTATAAACCCAGTGGATATTTGCTACATTGCTTCGATAAACCACAACCAGAGCTCATTAATTGAAAAATGAATGTCTGTTTGTGTTAGCTGTCTTCTGTAAACCACAGAGGTACAGTGATCCTGGCACGTGAAGAGTAATAAAGACATTGGCAAAATTTATCAGGTAAAATAGAGAAGAAGGCAGGGGTTCGCATATACAAAACCATATTGGCGTTTACTGGCAAGACCCCACACTGAAAGTTTAATGAGGCTTCTGCATCAAAATAAATGAATCCACATGGAATTTTAATTGTATATTTTACGTATAAATTCACAGAAAAAATTTTTTTTATGTTTAACATCCACATACCTACTGTGTGAACTCTGAGCCTTTGTGAGGGGCAAATGTTGACATTTTATGTGTGACTTCTTTCTATTTTAAATTGCTCGTGTTCTTCTGGTTTTTCTCATATGAGCTGAGTATTGAACTTAATGCATATAGAAGTGACCTGCCCATAACTATTAGCTCTGCCAACCCGAGTTCACCTAGATGCTCTGCACTGAAGGCTGGCTGAGGAACATCTGTATCCCCACTTAGTGTTTGTATTGTACCAGGCTGTGTGGAAGTACTAGGCACAGGAGCTGTTCCATCTCATCTGCTTCCATTTCTGATTCTGTCATAATCACTACTCCCATATTTTTTAAAACTTGAACTTGTCAGAATTTCATTTGGGGGAGGGATTAGGCAGAGGCAGGTTGAGGATGGAAGAAAAGCAGAGAGTGACTTCTGGGTCTATGTAAGTTTGAGTTTGTCATCTTGAAAGTGTTTGCTTCTGGTATTAGAAGCTGCTCGCTAACTTTTTACCCTCTGCTTATGGGCCTGGGCGTTCCGGGAAAGCACTAATGAGGGATTGGAACCTGTCTGTCTAGCCCCACCTCTAAAGCTGTTGCTTCTTCTTCTGCCTTGCAATCCGTGGTCACAGAACATTAGAGCTGGAAGGGAACTTAGAGCTCATCCCCCTCATTTTACAGATGATGACACTGCCACTTCTGACTTCTGCCTCTGGCCTTCCACTCTCAGTAAGAAGAGCCAGGCAGGTGAGATTTTTAACAATTGCTGGGCTGGGCAGGGCTGGGCCGGGCTGGGCTGTCTGATTGATACTATCCGATTTGTGAGCGAAAGTTTTATTAGCTATGTATGCCTTCTAATAGTCACTTTACATTACAAATGCACATCAAGGCAGTTAGCCCCCTAGTATTTCAGGTATAGCAGTGTGCATTGTAACAAAAATTAGCAAGTCCCAATCAACATCTTTAAAGGAAAGCATTAGAATTTATTCCTTTAGTAAATATTGAGATATCCAAGGGAAATGGCTGAATAAAAATGAGGCCAAAGAAGTACCGAGGTCTTTCAGAATGGCTGAGTACTCTTCCCTGTAGCTAAAAGTTATGGTAAAAAGCCATGACATGAGATCCAAATCCTTTAACAATTTTAGAAGGGACTGAAATCTTAGCAAGAGCACTGGTATTACCAATGGGCTTGTAACAATTCTGTCAAATCCAGAAAATCGTAATTGATCCAGTCTTTAAAGATCACAGCAATAAGTTTTCAGCTATTTCAGAAAACTTATTTCCATATGAAATGGCTCATAACTGTGGTTTCATATGTTAGGTACCAGAAGTAGCTCTTGGGGAGGCATACTATTAGCTTCAGCAATGAAAAGACTTCACTTTCAGGAGAAACCCATCTTTGCCCCTAGGTCTGCTTCAGATTGACCTGAAACTGATACTGTAGACATGGCATGGGGATTTGATGGAGGGGCTGGGAGATGTTCTCCCCTGCGTCACCCCTATGCAATGCACCTGTCTCAGTGTTGCTGTGGCCCATGATCTAGAACAGGTCCTGCATCTCCCATTAAGGCTTGAAATGCAGTGATTCCTAAGGTGGTAAGCCTCCCCTCCCCTCCCAGATAGCCCACTAGTTTATGACTGGCCAGAGAATTTCTGATGGCTATGCTTTCCCGGAAGCTCCTGGATAAGTAAGATAGTTTCAGATTATATTGGAATATGGTTTTATTTCACTGTTACTAAGGTGCAGATTATAGTGAAATCCTGGTGTCTTTTAAGTGCTTAAAAGAAAGGACAGGAACATGTTAGGCTGTCTTTCTGATGTCCCTTCATTGATGAGGGAATCCTGCCAGAAGTATGAATAATAAAACTGATCATTTTGAAATTTCTTTATATTGGGTTGAGAAAAATAAACTTGTCTGAAATAGTAAAAATTTTACTTCAAATATCTGAAGTGAACAAGAAATAAACAAAACAATTAACAAGGATTTGTTTTTAAAGTCTGGTGAGTGAACCTATATGATATGAGTGTTGGGTTGGTTCACACATAGGACCTAGCTCACATTTGGGTTTTTAAAGCCCTGCGGATTCTCTGTAGGTAAAGAACAAAAGGATAAATGCTGTTAAGACTGTAAAGTGGGGAAAAAAAAGTCTGTGAAGTGACTGGTGCCTTTGAAAGTCTGTTTGTGGCTTGCTGTCCTTTTTGGGAAAGCTAAAGTTTTCTTTTTTCTTGTAAAAATTCTATCATTATTTTAACTGATATTTACAGATTTTTCCCCCCCATCTTCTGTTGTAATTTTTAGGTGCTTCAGAACTGGGCCCTTTTTCAGACCCCAGGCAATTCCCAAGCATTTCATCCCTCACTGAGAGCCGCTTCTCCAACCCACGAATGCACTATCCAGCCACCTTTACTTACACCCCGCCAGTCACCTCAGGCATGTCCCTCGGTATGTCCGCCACCACTCACTACCATACCTACCTGCCACCACCCTACCCCGGCTCTTCCCAAAGCCAGAGTGGACCCTTCCAGACCAGCAGCACTCCATATCTCTACTATGGCACTTCATCAGGATCCTATCAGTTCCCCATGGTGCCGGGGGGAGACCGGTCTCCTTCCAGAATGCTTCCGCCATGCAGCACCACCTCGAATGGCAGCACGCTATTAAACCCCAATTTGCCTAACCAGAATGATGGTGTTGACGCTGATGGAAGCCACAGCAGTTCCCCAACTGTTTTGAATTCTAGTGGCAGAATGGATGAATCTGTCTGGCGACCATACTGAAATTCCTCAGCCATGGCCCAGCAGTGGCCCAGCGGTATCTAGGGCCACATCCCACATGTATCGATATATACATATATAGAAAGTGCATATATATGTATATCAACTAACTATCTACAAAGTGCCTGTTTTTTTTTTTTTAAGAAGAGGTTTCATTCATTCAGTCAGTCATGATCTGACCGACACAAAAGAGTAGATGTTAGAAACAGAAGGCCCAAGAGAGATGATCATAATCGGGTTTCAGATTGTTTACTATTTAAGAAGTACTTTTGCAATGAACAAACAAAGGAAAAGTTATTTTTGATGTTGCTTTTGGTCTGTTGTAAATAACCGGTTAACGGGCTGATTCTGAGATGTGGCCTCCGGACACAGGAGGTAAAGGAGCAAAGCTGCTTCCTCTCTGTGCCCAAAGCTGCATGGCCTGGTCGCAGCCGAGCAGGCCTGTGCCCTCTGCCGAGCAGCTTACTAAATCAGTGGGGGTGCTGCGAGGGGACAGGTAGAATGGATGCGTCCCTTCCAGCAGCAGGTGTCTGCGGTGATTGTCCAGGATATGCTCACAGGCCTGCTGCGGGCACATATTTGAACTATCTGAGTCAGTTTCATCCCCCGCCCCCCATTCTTCCTCTAAGAAAGTGACTTCAAAAATACTGATCAGGATAGATTATTTTATTTTGCCTTTTTAATACTTTTTCTCTGTTCTCCCATTTAACCAAAAAGAAAATCCCATCCTTTAAAGCTTTCCTTCTCCTATTATGCAAAACTTAAAAAATGGCAATACCTTATTCTAGCCATAATGGTATAGATAGTATTTGCGTTTGGCTGTGTGTTATTTGTTTTCTTTTTTTTTTTAAATTATGAATATGTGTAAAAATCTGAGGTAACTTGCTAACGTGAATGGTCATATAACTTTAAAGATATATTTATAATTATTTAATGACATTTGGACCCTTGAAACATTTCTTAGTGTATTGATATGTTGACTTCGGTCTCTAAAAGTGCTCTTTATTAAATAACAAATTTCTTCCGTGGGCTAGAGCCATATCTGAAATATTGCTAAGCAATTTCAGTTTATCCAGGCACAATGTGATTTTAAAAAATGCTTCCGTCTCCATGTATTTTAGATGTAGCTTGTTTTTGTGACGTATGAAGGAAATGTTATGTTTAATTCTTTCCTATCTAGGATTGCCTCTAACACAGCTTTGCCTTTTAAAGCAATAATTATGGATTTAAAAAGCAACTCGTAGCCCTTTGTCACTCACATTGCCCTTTATCAGCATGAAATGCTGGAGTGATGTGGTTTCCTAATTTCATTTGGGTCATTATGATTCTTGTCATATAAAAACACAAGCACAACTGAATCACTGACTGCAGAGAAATGTTCTGTGGTTTCGTAGTTAAGCAAAACTCTAAATTACCAGGCTTCATAGTGAAGACATAGTTTAGAGCCATGCATATGGATAAAGGATCCATCGTGATAAACAGAGGACAGGAAAGCAAAATTGCACCAGGGATTCTTAACCAGTTGGCCTTACCAAGCAGTACATCAGGGGAACCAAATCTGCCTTATCTGAGTCCCCACCAGGTAGAACTTCCCACATGATTTGCATTGGAAGGAGCAGAATGGAACCACTGTCCTATGGGAGGAGTTATCTCAATAGCGACCCATCCTGCACAGGTATTGATCTGAGAGCACACACAGCCCAACTGGCACCCACATACAGCCTTTGACATTGGCATTCCTCGTGATGGAGGATCCAGGGAGGGCTAGGCAGTGGGGCGTTTGGCGCTTACTACTGTGTATGAATTTGAACAAGAGCCCTCCTGTAGGATGCACTTTGTCCACTCCAGAGCCCATATGTCACATTCCCAGGTGTGAATCCTTAATCCAAGCTAGGATCACTTGATGACAACACCAGACGAATCCCTGCCCGCTCTCAAAGGTCAAGTCCACTGGTGCTCGTGCTGTCTTCCTGAGCAGGGCTGGCAGAGGTTTCCTCCACTGCATGGGTTCTTCAGCCATTCTGAAACCCACCTCATCTTCACAGGCTGCCAGGCCATGCAGGACAGTGTGTGGGGCAGCCAAACCTATGCTTTCTACTAGAAAGTTTCCCTTGGAATTCATCCTGACGCCTGCCAATAAAAATGGAGGAGAAAGAGAACAAAACAAAACAAAACAAAACAAAACAAAACAAAACACTTTGCCTTCTAAAGGATGTATACCAAGTATGCTTAGATAAATAAGCCACTTTTCTATTGCTTAAGATGGAAGTAGTAATTGATACTATTTATTATTTGTGTGTGGTAGCTTGAAGCACGCCACTGTCCATTTATTTTTAAGTGTGAAATATGTGTGTTTGTCTCAGCAGCACTTAAAAATACCAGTGTCTGGTTATACATTTCCAGTTTAATTAATTGACATAAAAATGTTACCACCAGTGCCAGCTGCACCCTATTTAATGAAAAAGGTACTCTAATTGTGCATTCTTTTTTAATATTAAAGGACTTTTTAAAGTTTACAGTACACATAATGAGTACACATAGGGATGCTCTAGTGTTGAAATGTTATTAGAGTGGCTGCAGGCAGCAACCCAGAAACACTTTAAAAAGTTTTTTTTCCTTCAGAAAAATTCAAGCACTTCTTTGCTACACTCTCACTTACCACTCCAATGGGTAATTGACATTTCTTCAACAAATTCTGTTCTTTGGCCCAGGGGTTAAAACTATCTTTTCATTGAACCCTTTGTTTGTACTGGGTGTCGTGTATAAGATTTGTGATTTCAAAACCAAACTAAAATTTCACTTGTATCATGAACCATGTACTAGTCAACACTGTCTTTCTTTGGGGTTATAGTGTGGTTTCTTATGTAGTGCAAACATTGCTGGAATTCACAGCGTGACCAGTGCATTTTTTGAAAAAGTCCATTTCGGTTGCTCACAAATTTTAACCTATGTCAGAGTTCCCAGAGCAGGTGCCACAACTTTAGCTATAGATTAGTAGAGAGACTTCATTCAGTCCTGAGAGACTCAACATTTGAGCTGTTTGCTTTTTAGATTGTCATGCCTCATCCACCTTCAGGACTTTAAAAATGAGCAGAAAAATCCACACAGTTAGCGAGCCTCCATTGTAAATTGAGAAGGGAGGAGATGTGTACTGGCCTCCAAGGTCCCCTCTATGCTGAGGAAAGGGACTGACCCAGGATCTGGGCTAAAGATGCTGAAATACAAAGTATTAGCAGAAGAGATCATTACATCCATGGTACTGAAGGAACAAAAAATAATACACAGAATAAATGATGACTCTTCCAAACCTTGAATTTGTTGTTCTTAAAAAGATAATACATTTAAAAATTATTTCTATGTGAGAATTTCTTAGGTGTTTGTTTACTTCATGTTTACAAATAACTGTTTGCTTTTTAATGCAGTACTTTGAAATATATCAGCCAAAACATAACTTACAGTAATTTCTTAGGTATTCTGAATAAAATTCCATTTTTTGGATATGCTTTACCATTTTTAGATTTCTGTGGAACAAAAATATTTGTAGCATTTTGTGTAAATACAAGCTTTCGTTTTTATTTTTTTTCCAGTTGCTATTGCCCAAGATTTGCTTTCCATGCACATATTGTACAAATTCTGCTTTGTGCCACAGGACATGATTGTGGATGAGTTTACCCTTAACTTCAAAGGGACCATTTGTATTGTATGTTGCAACTGTAAATTGAATTATTTGGCATTTTTCTCATGATTGTAATATTAATTTGAAGTTTGAATTTAATTTTCAATAAAATGGCTTTTTTGGTTTTGTTATGTGTGTACCTTGGGTCTTTTCTCATCCGCGGTTTCTTCTCTGGTGTGATATTCCTACTCCTGCCTACACCTGGGCGCTTACTGGACTTACTTAGGACTTGCCTGGGCTGGGTAAGACCAGAGATCCTATTATCACTGGTGAGAGGGGAAAACAAGCTTGGTAAGCATTGTCTTCGTACTTTGTTCCCCTCCTTGAGAGGGATGGGCAAGGAACCTGGAAAGGGAAGAGTACTTGACTCATTCTGGGGAAGAGCCCCTTACTCCAACTCAGGGACCAGACAGGACACATAAACTGCAGCCTTGATGCTTTCTGTTCTCAGGGAACATGAACAGGACCCAGCAAGGAAACCCCTGGTCATAGTCAGACGGTCCCAGACATCCCTATGACTTTTTGATTCTGCAGGTCAACCAAAACCCAAAGATGAGTAAAAATGACCCTGGAGTGCTGTAGTGTCAGGACACTTCTGCTGATGAACACAGCTATGGTTTGGAGAGGGCTTTTACTTGGCCATTGTTTATTTTCAGTAAGTCCCTCCCCTGCAGCAAGGTTGAGGGCCTGGGGTAACAGGTCTGTGTCCTGTGCATTCAGGGTGCTTTGGCCTCCTGCACTTCTACAGGTGGGACCCAGGAACCTGTGGTGCAGAGCAACTCAGTCCCACCAGGGGGTGAGGCGGCATCCTCACAAAGGATTTGCTCATTTTTAATCCACTGGCACTGCTTTCTGACAAATCTTGGGAACAGTTGATTCCTAAGAATAGGAGCAATGCAAGCAAACACTTGGGTGGGCTTTGAACAGGGAACTTGTTTGCAGCTTCTTTGAGGATATATATTAATTTAAGTTAACTCTGTGTAACTTTAAAGGGCATCCACAAGGGAGGTGGGCACAATGGTTTCTTTCCCTTTTGATCTTTCTCCAGAGCATGGTTTGGGACAAGGCCACTTAATTCCTTTCAGCCTCAGTTTTTGGTTTACAGAAAGGTGTTGGGTTAGGCATTGGCACTTTTTTTTTCTTTTTTAAAGATTTGTTTATTTATTTAAAAGAGTTATGGAGAGAAATGGAGAGAAAGGGATCTTCCATCTGCTGATTCGCTCTCCAGATGGCTGCAATGGACTGGGCCAGGTTGAAGCCAGGAGGACCTAGGAACTTTAAACCTTGACACTTTAGACTTTTCAGACAAGGTGGTCCACTGTTGTGTGTGTGTCGAGGATGCTCCTCTGTGCATTGCATCATGTTTAGCATCACCTCTGGCCTATACCCACTAGATGACAGTAGCATGTCCTGCCCTCCCCTCCCCCAAGCCTGACCACCAAAAATGTCAAAAATGCCTCCAGACATTGCCACATGGAATGTCCTCTGGGTATGCGCATGTGGGCGGGGGAAGCAAAATCTCCACTGATTGTGAACTGGCGGGCTTGAGGCTGTCTCTGAATTCCTAGGTCAGGCATGATTGGCAGAGCCGACATGAAATTTCACTGCTCATTAAAACAGAGCAGCCAGGCAGGAGGCCAAAGGGCTGCCCAATGATGGGTGTACCTCTGTGTTTTCCACTCCTTCCTGCCAGTTACTCAGCTTCATCAACTGCGCTTCTTCCTTCCTGTCTGCATCACAGGCTCCACAGCTTGCAGGCCACACAGCTGTGGGGCAGTGCTGGACCTGGGCTGGTTGGCCATATTTATCATGGCTCCTTCGTTTCTCACGGAAACGACAGGCGGAAGAAGAAAGCAATTTCTCCAATGTTTTTGACCCCTTGTATCCCTCGTCCCCCAAATATTTAATCATCAGACATTTCTGAGAGAGTGGGTGTTTCCTGTTAACTGAATCCCAGCCAAGGCTGGCCCAATAAACACCTCAGCTCTCTGTTGCAGAGTTTATTTGGCTGGGAAATGGGTATTGCCGTGTAAACAGGAAGCCCCCTGAAGTTATTATCTACAGATGTGGTTGAAGAGCCACATGTTTATATTTATGAGATTTGAAAGCAGTCTGAAAGGCAAGGAAGGATGTCGGGGAAGCCCTCATTCAGTCAGTGTGAGCAGCAGGTCCTGCAGATCTTGGTGAGTTGTATTTCCCTTCTTTCTAGAAAGGAGCGGACAGTAATGGTACAGTCAAGAGACATGGCAGAAATGGAAGTACTGCTTTGATCAAAACAAACACTCCTAAGGAGATTATCAGGTTCACCAACAATAAGCCTTCTGTCAGAACTCTGTGAAAATCATTTTTAAACACCAGTTCTAGAAAATAAAAGCTTGGGATATCTACAAAGGTATGGGGCACTATGTGGGAAGTGGAGGACCGCCAGCCTGACTGCATTGTTGGACAGCATATAGGTCAGCTCGCTTTTAAAAGCACGGCAGACTCATGGCAGTTCTACAGTCAGCTCCTAAAGGGCTAAGCTCTCTGGACAATGGTGCAATGAGTGTGCAGGTGGTCAGACACCTGGCTCTCACATCATGACTATCCACTCTGGCTGTATTCCAAACTGATCTCCACCCATGCCCTCTTCCCTCCTTGGCTCACTACTTCCATCTGAAGAGCAGCTTAAAAGAAGTCAGGTAGGATCTGAGACACAGCTAATGCTTCGTACTTAAATTACAGTCTCTTAGTAAAGACGATAGAATTGTTCTCCTCTCACCACTGTTCCCAGGCACTGGGATTAGCCTCTCTCTGCCTTCCCAGGGCTTTCTCCATAGTAACTATCTAGTCAGAAGGCATTGGAATTGAAATTTAGGTAAGTTATGGATCAAAGTTTACGAAGAAGAAGATTCACTGCAGATGCAAAGCTATTAGACCAACGTGTGTGTGTGTGTGTGTGTGTGAGCATTGGTGTGCATGTGCACATGGTCATGCGTGTGTAGGTGTATGCACCCAGACACACTTGACTAGAGTGGGGTGGTGACAGGAGTGGACAGCTGAGCAGCCATTCAGGGAAAGGTGAAACTCACTGCCCACTGCTTCTGCCCCTGGCAGAACATTTCCTACCTCCATTATTCCTGCAAATACTCTTCAGGGAATATAGGGTGCTCCTTGAAAGGCCAATTAATACTAGCACAGCATGGTGAAGCTGACATTTAAGAAGAGGTTATTGATTTTTGTAAAGTTTCTGTTCCAAAGCTTCTTATGACTCCATCCAGCTCTGATCATGCAGTTGGAAAGCAGAAGGATCGAATTTGTGGAACTGCATCTAATTTTTACTAAAACTTACTTGTTATCTTGTTGCAAGATGTTGAGCTCCTTAGAGGGGTTTCTGGAAGGGTTTCTTTGTGTTTTCATATTACAAACATAGCTCACTTCCTGATCGCTATCTGTTCTTCATGTCATTCTGCCCCACTTCACAGCTGATAGAGAAGAATTTTCCCCTACCTGCCATTCTCCTAAATAAAGCAACACTATATAACAATATGCTGTAAAACAAACAAACAAACCAAGACCCCGAAGCAAAATTCTTCCAAGCAGACCTTCAGGTGGAGCTAGAACATGAGAATGCAGCCCTGTCTTTATGCTGTGTGCATCTGAGGCCAGAGGAACTTTCTCCTGTGGCACCAAGACTGTGGGAGTCAGCTAGTGTGTAGTAGGTTTGATGGAATTAGAGACACAGGATAGTGTCAGAACTTAATGGTGTTTTTGAGAAATATGAGTACCAAGAACCCGCAAACACAAGCACATGATGGGTTGATGTCTCTGTGCAGTCACTATTTAAAAAGGAAAAGCAGGTAACAAAACCATGTGGCACATAACTGGAAGAGTATTAATAAAATGGCCTGTTTTAAATCTTTTTTGACAACGTTCCTTCCTAAATCAAGTCTTTTTTTTTTTTTTTAATAATCCCACCCACCTCTGGCTGTGTCACTCTGCCCCGTTTCACTTTCTGTTTCTCCTCATTCTGAGGTGTGCAGGTTCTCTCCTGGTCCCAGGAGCATCTTCACTGGATTTCATGGTCTTTCAGTCATCTAATGTTTACAATCATGAAAAGCACAGTAACCTATTGCTTTCTAACAGAGTGCTTGGAGTCTGCATGTGTGGCTTTGTGGAGACATAAGAGATTTGACTTTTTATGGAAATCTTATTGGTGATTTCACAAATGAGAAATGCAGAGATGGCTTTTGAAAGTAATTTTCAACCACATATTCTACAAGGCAAATGGAGAATCCCAGTTACAAGGGGAAGAGATTGGTGGGCATGGAAGGAGGGCTGCACCAGGAGGAAGTAAGTCACGGACTCTAGGAAAGAGTTAAGTGGTAAATAGTAACTGAGGTTTTTTTTTTTTTTTAATTAGCTAATAAAACCTCTTAGGGTTTTTCATATTATATGGTTCCTCTAGGCTCCTAGCCCAATGCTTAAAAAAGGAAAAAGACAAAAACAACAACAAAAAACTGGAGCCTAAATACCAATGCAGTCCCAGTCTTGTTTACTTTTTCATTTCCGCAGTTGTAAAAAAAAAAAAATTCCTTTGGTAGTTCAACTTTATCACACTGCAGGAACAGATCTGGCTCCAACAGCTCCAGTGATTCCTGCCTCTCAGAAAAAGTAGGTCTGTCCCTGTTTCACAAAAAGGAGATCAAATGATGGATACATCAGGAAATTTTCAAATGCAGCAGAGGTGGAGGAGGGAGAGCAGAGACTGAAGCGAAACACATCTCTGGAATCCTGAATGCAAATGATCTCTGTCCGATCGCCAGCGGTGCTGTTCTCCCAACAGAGCAGGATGTTCTTGTTTTTAATAATAGCCAGACCAGATGCTAACTTCTCCTCGGCCACATGCTATATAAGTGAGAAGGCAAACAGCTGATTCCTGTTAAGATGAACACCAGGAGAATAAGCCAGAGAGTATGAGAATTCTCCGGAGGTTTTTGCTTTGTAAACCCCCGTTTGGCAGAAAGATCACAGACTCCGAACTGAAAACACGGTGTGTCCTCTTTGCACCCGTTCCTCGGCTGAACTGCTTGCTTGGAGCTGTTGGGCCTCCCCTTCACCATCCAGTCCTTTTCCAAATTATCCAGAGG